AAAGAGAATGGGATTTCCACTACAATATATATATATATATATATATATATATTAATTTTTTTTAATGAAAACTTATAAAAATGAAAATAAAATAAAATATAAGTATTAAAACATTGCCTTTGCAACTAACTGAAAGATATTTAAGTCAAAGCACTTCAATCATTAACTGGAAATAAACAAAAAAGAAAATGGACCTAAAAATAAATCTAAAAAATAACGTTGAAAATATTAATAAAAAACTATAAACGTATATAAATAATACTAAAATAACACTTATATACATGTACATATAACAATATATAACATCTGTTTAAAAAAAAAAAACATATAATTTGAGTACTAATTATAACATTTGAGAATTTCTGCCTAGTAATTAACATGTCAATGCAAATACTTCTTAATGGTCCTAAAATTGAGCTTGATAAAAAAAAATTAAAGTAAAAACATAATAATAAATTTGGAGGGGTTTGTGGAATAAAACCAGGACATTTGATTCTCTTAGATGACTCAAAATTACCAGGTAGTAAAAGAAATTAACTACTTAAAGAGAAGCACATGTACTTGTGTGTGTGTGTGTGTATGTGTGTGTGTGTGTGTGTGTGTGTGAGTAACTGATGTACTGATTTCTCAATCCTTTACACACCTATCCAGCTCTTTTACTTGATTTCAAGGTCTTTTTGTATTCAGTCCTGCAGTAACGCTCATTGCTGGACTTTTCTGTGCTGAAATGTGACAGAATCAGAATAAGCCCAGCAGTGGTTCAGAGCTGGCCGGTTTGAGCTGGAAACCTCAGGCCGTTCATGCACACCTCAGTTATATAACACATCCCAGCAGCTGCTGCCACTTCACTGATTTTTTTGCATCCTCCAGCAGCTTGAACAGTGTGAAAGAAGTCACAGCTGGGAAGATCAAAGCAGCACTTGAGTGGACAGTCTCACTGGCCTCACGTAACACAGCTCTTCAAAGTGACTCCGAAACAATCCTCACTTTCTGTGTGGAAATCACCAGCGTTTGTGGGAGGGGCCCATGTTACAAACTCACTTGACAAGTCGAGAAATATTCAAGAGATCTCATCTTACTCCCTAAATGGCCTCTTAAGAACACATAGTCACATTTAAACCAGAAACGCAGACAAACTACGTATGTTTCCTGAAGATGTGTGAAAATGGCTGCAGATAGTGAGACAGAACTAAATGAAGGTTTGATGACCATCATAATTGTTTTAATGGCAGAAAAGCCTTGATTACCAATGTCATAAATTACATTTACATTCACGCATTTGACAGATGCTTTTATCGCTTTTATCAAACATAGAAATAATTTTCTTCTATCATTTTGGTGATGAGGATTTTTTCCCTTATATAAAGGAAAAAAAAAAAGAAATAAAACCTATTTCTAGGAGAATTACGATTTTTTTTCAATATTTTCATGACAGTTATATGTGTAATTTGTCATTATTTGTCATTTTAAACGAATCCTCATCACCAAAATGAAAGAAAAAAATGTAAATATTTAAATGATCAGTCCTGATGACCTTGATTCGTTTTTTAAAGGCCAATTAGCCATATGATTGCCAATATTATTTCATTTATCTTTACATTTATTCATTTGACATGCAATAAAGAAATAGTATCATACTCTATGAGCTAGAAGAATGCAATATTATTCAATTATAATTAATAAATAATATTTTTTTTATAGTAATAAAAAATAAATATTTCGGAGTCACAAAAATAATTTTGTTGAAGTGAAATCAGCTACAGAAATTTAAAGTACAGAAGATAAAGTAATCCATGTTTAGTACTTCTGAAACTAAACCAAAAAAAATATATATTTTTTTTAGTGTTGCCAAGCAGTTTCTAGGGTCAAAAGAGTCCCGTCAAGTATCTATGGC